AATTAACTGTAACTAATAGCAAAAATAATTTTTTTTAAAAAAGATAATAAATTAATGAAACTGTCATGTATTATTTTACCCCCTATATTGTTATCCATTTTCACTGAAAAATATAAAATAATGATTTCATTCATCAAGTATGTCCTTATGTTTTTCTTTCACAATCTCCTTTAGAAGAACTGAAAATCAGTAGATAAAAGAATAAAATGATGAAATAGAAGATTGTAAACGATTATTATGATATGCTTCCCTTCTCTTTTTTTTAATGATCCATTTATTCATATATCTCTTCCCCTTCTGTATAAAGATGAATGTGTCTTTTTTTTAAACAGAAAGATATTCAATCAAACTAACCGATACTCGAATATGAACAATTACCTATCTATATATTTGCATACATTAAAAAATATACAAACAGTTTTATATTCCCATTGAATGGCATACTATTTCGATATGAACTCAAGGAAAAAAGTTAATACACAACTAAGAGAGAGAGAGAGAGAAAGAAAGAGATGAAATTAGAGTTTACAAAAAAACAAGCCAAATAAATGCAAACAAATAACAATAATATGACATAATCAGTTTAAATATATCTATACTTTGAAATAATAGATTCGTCAATGTTAACTCTACAGTGGGTTGATAAAATTGATCTAGATTTATTTTTTGTTTTAGTCTGACTGATTATCTGACAGTTGATAATGCGAAGTAATTATTAAGATTGTTGAAATGACCATAACTATTATTGTTATTTTCATCGCTTTTCAGTTCATATCATAATGAAATAATAAAATCGAAAAATAATTATCTCTCTAATTAGATATAACTATTATTCTATTAGTTTATGTTTCTTTATACCCTCGATAATCATTCTTGTCGTTTGTATAGAGCTTTGACTGAAGGTTGTCACTCTATTTTATAAATATACTTTACACTACTAATAAGTAGATAAAAATGATAAGTTAATTAAATCGTTGAGATTCTCGAAAAAAGATTCCGGCTAATGTGGGCAAAATATAATTCAGATAATTATTCCTCAATTCACTTTATCAAAGAAATCTGACTTCATTTAGATGTATTACTGTGATTTGTACGTTTAAAAATTTCACTTCCTATCATACAGATAATTCCTTCTGAAACGATAACAGTCGATAAGAGATCCTAGTGGATGATTAATGTTAATTATCAGCTGACACGATATTTTATTGGTAATCTAGAGGAAAATTAATCAGCTTTGTCGAGAGTGTAAATTTCATTTCAAATTCACTGAAGATTTGAGATAGACACATGGTTAACAATATATCTTGTTTCAAATATCTTAATTTTCCAATATTAATTTACCAAATAAAATTAATGAATCACATTTACGGGATCAAGTAATGTGAGGTAGTTTAGGTACCATGGCCTATTCAAGATTACTTTGTTTGTCTGATGATATATAATACCATGATGGGAAATGTGATGAGGGAAATGTATGTCATTGAGCCAAAAGTGAACAGATCAATCTTTCAGTTCCTCGGATGGTAAAGCGTATTGTACAATCAAATTCACTAACGACTTTTCTAGGTTTTAATAATCCATCTTATCATGTACAAGAAATCTCGGTTACATATGATTCGTAATATCATAACTGGACTGGAAACAAGACAAGATTGAAGATGAATTAGTGAAAAACTGTTACCTAAATTGTAATGTAACTCTATTATTGATAACTGAAGATATAAACGTTACTTTGTTATCAAAGATATTCACAATAACTATAAATGCTCGGTAAAACTACAAACAACTCAAGAGGTTTCCAGTAAAGTTGTGCTACATAATGACTAATAACCATTCTTATCAAATAAAGTACTATAATCATTCATAAAATCGGAATATTTACTAAATATCACAAGACTCTTTATTAGGTCATATACTGTTTTCTTAATTATTAGTACCAGAATGCTTTATTTCTATGTTATTCTTAGTAAAAATTGATTAGTAGAGTAGCACAGGTTTATTCTAATAAAAAATATTGATCCATTTCTTATAAATCAATGAGTAGAGAACTGAATTTCTAACGTTATTTGTTTATTCTCTGAAGAAGTGAATTACATTTCGTTGCGAAAAGTCAAAAATTCAGTTTTCTACTTATTGGAATATTACGAATAAATCATTATATTTATTAGAAACAATCCACCCAATGTTCAGTTTATTCGCAGTTATTAAGTCGAACTTAAGCGATTACAGAACAGCTACGCAGTGTTTTCTGGTCTTTAGTGTCCTTTTTTAACTATGATCATTCCACGAATTTAACTACAAAATAAAAAATCTATCTTAACTCCCGTAATAATGATAGAAACGAGAATTAATTAGTTATTCGGAGCCTATCACAGGTTTAAAACCATTTTAAGATTTTTCGAGTAGTAAAAAGATTCTTAACACGAATCCATGTGTTAAAGAAGAGGAATTGATAATTATGGATGTTGTGCACTAGTACATATTTTCTCATTCATTGTTACATTGCGATGGCGGTGGGATAGGAGTGATTATCTCATAGTACTGTTTATTCGCCAAAAACCTATCTTCTTAGTGAATGATAACAAATATCGAGGATAAGTTTTAGATTAATGAAGATAGAATTATCAGTAGAGAACTACGTGGACCCACCTCTGAAAAGTATGAATACTTATACAAGTTCTCTGCTAAAGAAAAACCAAGAAAGCAATTAAAAGTCTAAGAAAGAGCTTTAAACATAATATTATTCAATAATGTAAATGAATTATTTTCAGAGGATAAAATTGAAACGAAATTGACAACAGTTAAATATTGTCTACGTGAGGATGGCTTTCCACCAAAACACGAAATGATAGAATTAGTGTTCCACAGTCTGTCTTCCTGAGATCTGGTTCCAAGGATTATGAAATAATTTGAACTGTTGATTTTATACTAAAGACTATATTGAAAATGAAGTATCCAATCACTTATTCAGTGCCTCCATATCAAATGAATTTTTCGCTGAAACAGTCAAACCCGCTCAATATCAAGTAGGACAGCAACTCACGTAAAAGTCGCAAATCCGTAAAATACTTTTATTTTCTTGCAGAATCATCTAGCCTGTAGATTGGAAAACTTGAAGAACACCAAATACTCAGTCACAACGTAGGATCAAGCACATATCCATCAGTCAAAGTTCCCATACCTCATTAGCACAACAAGATGAACACCACATTCATAGAAGTAGTTACTTCAATTGTAGTAATATATAAAGGGAAAGATTGCATACAAGGTTATGATGTAGAGAGAAAGAACTATTTCTTAGAAAGAAAGGTATAAAGCAGTTTGAATCTCATAGTATAAGGAAAGACAAAGAGTGTATACACCTACGCCATTGTGATCGATTCTCAGCCATGTCACACAGTCTCCAACCACTGGTTACGACAGTCGCACGGATCCCAACCAAGTGGTCTGCATCTAGCAAAATGGCTCAGACCAGAAGTCAGTGACTTCAAAGACTGATACCGTCTTCGTTTGACCACCCCTAACTTTCTTCCATCCGTCTCCAATACTAGTCAGCATTGCACGTCGTGGTAATCGGTGTTCAGGCATACGAAATACGTGGCCCAACCATCTCAATCGATGAAGATTCACAACCTCATCAACTGACTAACTATTATTCCCTAATACCCGGTATCAAAGCTCACAATTACTTACCCAGTGTTCCAAGCCGATGCGAGCAATATTTCCAAGACTCATGTGATCAAATACTAGTAACTTGTAGTGCTATGTTAAGCCCACACAGCTTATTCTAGCTTCCGAACAGGCCAATCTATTCATTCTTCTTGAGTTACATCTTCACCTTGTTAATTATACGCTCATCAACCTTGACTGGTTTTATATAAGCGTATGTATGTGCATTCCTCATCTTACTCATCACATATCTGTCACTTATTTCTATCCAACTATAAATATCGATTCACGTTTGGCTAAATTCAGTTGGCTTACATACCTTCTCCACCGCGCTTCATTTCACTCCCCTCTCTTCTCTTCAATTCCTCCATCTCATTGTCTATCCAGATCAATCAGTCTACAAAACACATGTATTCAAAAATACATTCTCCTATTTCACTCATTTAATTCCCGTATTCACTAACGCGAGTTAAATCAACAATTTTATACGATGATTAACGATGTGTATATTTCAATAACAATCACATACAGGGCCACAAAATTACGAGTATCCTCTACCTTTAAAGGACACGTATCACAGACATATATTAGAACAGAACGAACTGCTGCACAGTACACTCGTCCTTTAATTGATAAACGGATATCTCGCTTTCACCATAGATCATGTAAGTTGGCAAAGAAAAATGAGCTTTTTGAATCCGTGTGGATATTTCGTCAGACACCAACCCATTAAGGCTGATCAGCCTTCAACAAAAGTGAATTTGTTGATGCGCTCGATCACTTCCTTCCCTATCCTTAGTTCATGTATTGACGCAGGCCAGTCCTGAAGTAACAATTTACATTTGGAGGGGCAGAAACGCATTCCAAACATCCTGGTACTGTTGCTCAATACTAGCAAATACTTGACAAGCCACATTCTTTTGCTCATTTAGTATCCATATTAGTAGCGTAATGGATCAGTTGATACCTATTTATTTCATACAGTGAAGTATCCATTGATGTATTTCTATTAATTTACATCATATTCGAAATTCAACAGTTATTGAGTTTTCTTACTTGAAGTTCCATTTTCTAGACACGAATTAATGGAGTACAAAGTTACGCAATTCTACAAGATAACATTAATAATAAACATTCAAACATCTTAAAATATCTCCACAGGAGGAAGTTACCTTCACAAATATTATTGTACAGTGATCACTTTTACGTTATATACATCACCTATGACATAATCGGATATATATTGTCAACATAAGATGCCCAATTCTATGCGACTTTAATTTTGTAGTGACCAAGTTACAGTAAATATCAGTCTTTCAGTGAATCAGATAATATTGTATGTCTTATTGGAATCTATATATAATAGGAGACAATACTAGTTAATTAAAAGCCTGATTTTATATTCGGAGACTATGTATGGATTATTTCTGCAGTAATGAATATGATGTGATGACGGACACATATCAAGGATGAAAAGTTTAAGACGCAAGATATATTACAAAAATAACGTTGATAATCAATGAACTGAGATGTTTGTAGCAAGACTATAGATTTACTGATTCATGTAATTCACGGAAAATTGCAAATTTACAATGTAACCAACTCACTTCAATATTGGAATAAACGATTGGAAAAAGGATTCTTTTTGTAAAATATTATTTAATAAAATTTAATAAAGCAAAAAATACAAATTAAAAAAAAATGAATAACTGATTATAAGCTTTTAATAATTGTGCGAGAACTTTTTATTTCTTTCTGAGTTGTTCAATGTAAATCTCTTCATTTACTGAACAGAAATAAGTGAACAATCAAACACAATTAATTGAATAAAAATATAATAAAATTTAATTAATAATAAATAGTATAGTAATACTTAAACTGGTAGAATGACAGTAAAAGTTTATATTAATAAACGTAATATAAATGAATATTTGGAGAAATTATCAAAGCAAGAAAAAAAAATGGAAAGAAAAGGACACTGTAATAAACAATATTTGAACGTACTACTGACAAACCCATTATTCAGTAATTCAACAAATAACAAGTTTATATTTATAGAAAAGAAAAAAAAACAAAGGCAAAATAAAAACAATTTAATGCTAATCATATTTGATTGTCCAACAACATTATTTCAGATATTATATAGTAGGCTTAAATACATAGTATAAGTGTGAATTAATTTCCAATTTATTGAACTATTTGTAAACGTAACGAAAAAAGAAAGAGTGTGTGTGAAGGGAAGAAACTAACCATTAAATCTTATTATAATCTAGAAAAAAAAATAGCTGAATGAATAGATAGAACTTATTTGGCAAAATATACTGATATAAATATAATGAGAATAAGGAAAGTAATAATTTATTGTATAAAACAAACACAACAAAAAATGAGATAAATAAATCATACATAAAATAAATATGCTTAAAATGCAAAGATAACAACTAGAAAGAATTCATCAGAAAATGGAATTAAAAAACAAAACAATGTTAAACAAGACAATTTCAAACATGGAAAAACTTGAGAAATAAACATAATTAACAGGAAAAAAAAATATACATATAACAATTAATCAATAGACAAAGATTTTTGAATACCATCCATACTAGTAATAATAATAATTATAGTAGTGAAAGTGAATCTTCTCATCTTTCATATGTTACCGATAACAAAACCTTTCAATGATAGGAATTTGAAAAATAATTCAACTCTTTGTCATCCATGTTGAACTAGAAAATATGGGAAAAATTGAATAAATCAAAAGAAACAAATATGATAAAAAGGATTTAGAAATAAATGAATTTACTCTTAACAGTAAAATTTGTAAAAACAAGCAATAAATAGAGCCACACTGTCAATCTTCATTCATTGTTATACTAAAGTAACTAAAAAATATTTCGACTTTATTTTCTTTATATATATCAGATACATCCAGCACCATCCGTCTATCTTTATAGTGCTTGTGACCTCAGGCAATACTGAGACAATCCGCACAGGATGCATATATGCCAACATGAGACTGCTCAATTGCAGTCCTAAACATCAATGGGAAGACTCAAACAATACGAAAATGAATTATATATATATATATATATATATATATATATATATATATATATATATATATATATATATATATATATATATAATTCACCTGGTGATTAACAGTTTTTATGTAAGTATTTCGTTGTCAGAATCGCCCTCTTAGATGGATTTCATATCATGATAAAACAAGACTTTTTTTCCTTGAAAAAAACAGTAACTTGATTTTGTTAGTATAAAGATTTATAATGATTACAGTGATTAAATATACCTTGGAGCGCTAGGCAGAACTCCTTCAGCATTTGAACTTGGAGCACCTGGATAGGGAGGGGGTGGGAAATCTGGTCGAGTGGTTGAATAGGGTACATTACTATTTGCTCCCAAACTAAATCCAATTTCTCCGGTCATATTTGTTGGAATTGCTGGTGGCACAGGTGTAAAAGGGACATCAACATTCTGTGGATAACCAACGTATTGTCCGTTCGGAGGATATGGATAAACAGGATAACCAGGAGGAACAGATGAAGTCGGATTGACTACAGGATATTGATTCTAATAAATTAAAGCAAAGTAGCTCTTCAATAAAGTATATATAGAGACGTCCACTATGTTTTACTAAAAATACCAAGTTAAAACATAAGAATCTACATGGATCATTGCGACAATTTTTTGATGTGTTACAAAATCTAAGGTGTAAAGTTGCTTAAATCACTCATATTTGACATAAAAAAGATCGTTGTAGTGGTTAACTGATGTGAAGGAAGTATTAACAGTAGATAGATATAACAGAAAATGGAATATAAAAATAGCAACAACAAATACCTCAGAAAACAAGTAAATCTAAATGAAATTCACTCCTAGCTATTACAGGAAATGAATACTACAGTACAACTAATCGGCATGTGCTTAAAACTTATGAGTAATTTACTGTATAAACAGAAACTGTAAAAGTGTGATTTCAATCTGCTGCTCAATAGCCCTTAAAAAGTTTATTATTATTACTCCATTCAGTGCATATTGTACTTAGTTCTTAGATGAAGAATAGTTTGACATTTTATTTGGTTTGTCTGAAAACCTCGTTAAGATCAATTAGTTTGGAATTAATCAAAAGGAGATTGTAGCAAATCTAACAAGTAACGTAACTAGTTTATAAGAGAAAACTAAATCACTCATTGAAGAATCGAACATCAAGATTAGATACTACTCGCTTTACATTGATCACTGCCTATCTTAGATGAAAAGTTGAAGTCGAATATCTCGTAGTTGGATTGTTGTGGAGTGCTGGACAACACAAAATAGCTGACAAGATAAAAAGCATTTTATTTATGATTTTTATCGGATATTCTGAAGTTATAAGTTATATTTCTAGTAAGTTTCTCAAGTCAATGAATATAAATAAAAATCGATTACAATAAAATATAGTCGACTAAAAGTAGCAAACTAAACAAAAAATAGGAACGGTGTCAACAGAAAACTCAAATTTTTAAAAAGACAACTGTTAGCCAAGGAGTATTTTGTGCGTATAACCACACACACACACACAGCACACCATATGCTTAAATCTCTTACGTCACAAATACGAATAACACCTTACCCCAGAATTCAATGGCTGATTCTCTACAGTCGAAGTGTCAATAGACTCGGAGAAACTTCTGGATTTGCTTACCGGTTTGTACACTGGATCTAGAGGTGATGTAAGCTGTGCACTTGGAACATTCAGTGATTCTCTCTCTCTTTGACGTTTACAACGAAAACAGCAATATATAATCGAGCCGAGTGTTATAATCAATAACATAATTCCAAGTAGTGTACCAACGACAGCTCCTCTAAAATGCAAAAATTAAATCACAATATACGGATGTAGTATAAACTGAGAGATGGTGTGATAAATGTTTGTTTAAAAGTTCGATTCATAACAAAGCATGCATGACTTTGAATTACAACAATGAATACAACTAAAATGAAGACGCAGTTTAAAAGTTAATAAGTTGGTTAAACAGTGTGAGACACATCAACAACTTCTTTCTTGTCGAAAGAAACACATCTAATTATTGGAGAGAAAACAACACAACCAAATAAACAATAGATGTCCGGAAATCATTTGTTATGAAGAAATTGAGGGAAACACTTAATTAAGAATTGATTTAAGTACCTTATTCGAATTTGTATTTATCTATTGAGTTCGTGAATACAAATATACTATATTTTGTTACAAACCCTAGTTTATATATCACCACTTCTTTTGGTAAAGACGTTTTACAACTAAACATTTAGAAGAGAAAAGAATCAAATTTTAAGAAAAACCAAACACAATGATTACATAACACCAGTATGTTTCTTGTAAAAATAACTCAGAATAACAGTTAAACTGAATGATTAGTAATAGTTGATTTACATCGCTAATAAGATCAGAATATATTAAATATGTTGATAAGTTAAACATAATTATATCGTCAACATATACGTTGTTTAATAGAAATTACAAGAATAACAATGGAGCGGATCAACCTATTACAATGAGAAATAATAGAAAGAGAAATAAATATTTTGTGAAAAAAACGTTATTTTATGGACTACAGATAAAAAGTTGAAAGTGTCACACAGCTAAAAGCCAAACACAATATATGATGTAACTGTAAATTTTACCAGATGAAATCATTACAGTTTCTTTAGATAAACAATAATTTTCAGAACTTCTATCAGATTTTCTTAACCTATGTACACTGAAATAGCCTATACAATACTTTTAATACAAGCAGGCTAATAATATTATGATAGGAAATGAATGAAAATGTATACTATGGAATATAAATATTACTTAGAAATTACTCTCAGTAATATTCAATAATGGTCCACATAACTACAGCCTTAGCGTTAACTTTTAAGTGTTCTATTTCTTTCCATGTTTCTTGAAGAGATTCAAAGATTCATCTAATCTCCATAGATCACTTAAACTCATGATAAATTCTAGTTTGCTTTCATCGTGAGTACTAAAAGCAACTTATAATTATTAACCATCTATTGTAAATAAACAAACAGAGAAATACAATCTAGTAAATGTATGTATGTATGTATGTATAAAATACTTATGTAAATAAGGACAACCCAAGATACATCTCCGTCTGCAAATGTGCAGGAAGGTTATTCTGACTGATAAACAATGGATTTGCACCTTACAAAATCGATCAACTGATTATATATATAGGGAGAGAGAGAGAACAGCCGCTAAAATAGAATCATGAAAATCAATAAAAAGCAACCAACAACAATTTGTTTTTGAAATTCAGTCAAACAAACAAAAATGTATGTATCTCTTACAGGAACAGACATGTTGATGTCAGTATCTTCGGTGATAATTGCAACGTAATTACAAACATGAAACCTAAAGGTGACGCATATACAAATATATAGTGGTGCCTATATGTCATTAAGCTGAATAGTTTAAATGAATTAGTATTTATCTTTTAAAAGAGAAAGTTGTAAGATAATTAGTTAGATTTCATGAAACAATCGCTCTCATATTTTTACAAGTAAGCCTTTGGACTTCAGTAAAATAATGTAATTATTTGAAATCTTTCTAAAAATAGTTTCACATGATGTTTTAGTATTGTCTCCCACTTTTCAAAGACACTCTACTCCTATGAAACATGTTTTACACTAAGCATCCTTTCTTAGAGGGTTCTTATATATTATCGTGTCTGATTAAACAGAAGAGAAATATTAGTGATCTAATAGTTGAAAATATGGTTAGTGATGATTAGAGATACTCACCATAGCTTTGATAAAGTCCTGCAAACCAATTATAAGCGAGGGTGTATAAGTCTTAAAACACAAGCCTTAAAAAGTAGAAAAAAGCGGCACGAGAAACTGATTATGTTTTCATGAACCTCAAGGGATTTCCCTTTAATAGTAGTTAATACTTTAGTGTTAATACCATGAAGGTCCTTTCATTAGCCCTCTTTGAGTCGATCATGCAGACACCATTATAGTTGAACCATTTTATTGAATTGAACGCACACTATTTCAGTCTGTTAATATTTATTTTTGTTTTACTGGAAAATATTTTAACGACATTAGTACCAATATCATTATTATTACAATTCATCAAATGAATACTTTATTATTTTCCAAAGCGTTAAATGTTGATACCGCTGAATGACATAAAAATAGAAGCTTTTTTGATGGTAAATTGTCCTTCGTTCATATCTTTAATGACATGTTCAATAAAGCAACAAATATCAATAGTAAAAATTTACTATTACTGAATTGACCTAATTTAATTCAACTAAAAATAATAATAAATGCTTAATAGAGAAATAGGTCAAGATAAATTTCACTATTCATGTGGATTATTATCACATTTATTCTATATAACAATAATAACAGTGAAAGTACCTTGTATATATGCTAAAAAGAAACAGTATTATTTTAGTGATCATATTTCACTGATGAGTAGAAAATTAACCGAGTACATCAAAAAAAGATTCACCTTATATTTCTATTGAAATTTCTTATTTCAATAATTATCAAAATATTAATAGAAGGAAGGTTGGTAATTATTTTTGTAGAGAAAGAAAGCTATTTCAATCAGGCAGATTGGATAATGTTAAGGAAAAGAAACATCTATGTTATAGGCTGGAATGAATCATTAATGAACTATACTGTATTATTATTATGATAATGAGAAAGAGGTAAATATCTATTCTGTGTTATCATTATGAATATAGACGAAAGTTAACTTGTATTTTATTTGAATGAGAATTAGAAGAGAGCAAACAACCAGAAATACAACAATACAAAACATTAATATGATTAAAATAATAATGTTTATTCAAATTAACATTTAGGAAAGAGTTTCTAGGTTAAATGTAAGACAACAATTAGTGCAGTGATTTACCTATATTGATAACCGATTGTGAATGTTCCATATAGTATTTATATATTTAATATAACAGTAAGAAAAAGGTTATTTTGAAAGACGAGTTTATCACCGACCAGTGACAATAAATCTAAAATGTTTAAACGTTGAGTGACGTTTTACCCAGATTATCTGTCCCATACCCTTTTTTTCAGCCGATACATCAGATTAAAGCTAATTAACAACCTATACTACTCCGCAGTTTGGGTAGGGATACTGTTGCGTTGACCAGTTTTTAACAAGCACAAACTGAGAACTTCACGAAAATTATGACAACTGGTACGCAAGAATTTAAGTCTTTATGTACTGGCTGAGGCTGGAAACATTAACTACTTGGCATTGATCCAGTATATGAAAGCTTAGGGTGACTATAATGAACCCTCAAAGTTCTATATTAGACGATATCTATGAGAAGCCATAATAAAGAATGTACCCCATTTATTAAGTACAACCTATTGTGCATGGCCTTAAGCTACAATGTTTGTATGACAGCTAATGATACTACCTGGGTCCGAAGACTTAACAGGGAAAAGAGCAATGAGCCAAATGCTTCAATAACAAATGAGCCACAACATAATGATACACTTATTAATGGGCAACTGATTTTCGAAAGTATGTCTTTATGATAAGATAAGACAGAATTGTTATTGATTATAGTAGGTCAGGTAGTCTAAGAGCAAAATTAATAAAGATTTATTATCATATCAGTCAAATATAGTAGATAATACGATAAAAACAGCAATCAGAAAGTAAATCCACAATATAGGATAACTGAAAGATGTTTATATTTATGTTTCATTACTGTTGTTAAGATAAAGAAAGAAGAAACATTTTGTGTTTGTCTCTGTTGAACAAGCAACAAGTTTTCACAAGTGTAAGACGGTAAAGAAAGAATCAACCACAGAGTAAAACAACAAGGAGAAAAATGGTCTAATTTATTCACTACACAACAACGATTATCATCAATAGAGTGATATTAATTAATAAAATAACACATGCACACCCATCCAGAGCAAGGATCATGCAATTAAAACTAGTTCAACCCATATTAATATTCATAAATCAATTCATCTCTATGTATTTTTTTTCCATCTACCCATTTTTATTCATAAATTAATAATGGTAATAAGATTATGTTGAGCAGAAATGCAAATATATTCTCTTTCGATAGAATAATAACATAAATGATTGGATTGAAATTAATCCAGGTGAATCATATTTCTAAACGACAAATGATTATTTTGACTTTGATAAAAAAAAACGACTCATGAAAACATGCTCAATGAAGTAATTAGAAATTTAAAAAAGAAAACAAAAACAGAAACAGACCATATTCATTTCATTTATATGAAATGATAAACAATCAGTGCATTTGTGAAAACAGATTAGGAGAGATTTAAAAACAAATAAATAATAATAACAATAATAGTGATAAAAATGATGAAAAGTAATAATTTACCTGCCAGAATGTGAATACCTAAAGATACACATATATAATGAAAGATGTAAATGGAAATATTTTCTATTTTAAAAAGTACTCAAATTAACTACATAGCTCGATGATACACCAATACATACGCAAACATATAAAGTAAACGACTAGTATGATGAATTGGCCACTAGATAAGAAGTATAATTTGCACTAAATGTAACAGCATACATAATTCAACCCAATGTTATGCATTGAAGTGAACGTAGAATAATCCGTTTGCTATCTAATACTTAGAACATCGTCCTAAAGAATACTCCTGGATAATCAAATAATCATTTCAGGTTTTATTGTATGAAGACTTGCAAACTATAGTAACGAAAAAAAACACAATCTTGTCTACAGAAATATCTTTAGACAGTTGTCAGTTATTTTAGTTACAAACAACGTAAGATCTAACATATAGAGAATAAAGTTCCAAGGAAATAGATGAAGGCATAAAAATGTATGAAAGAATATTAAAGCACAAGATTTAGAAGATAAACAAAAGTGAGTAAATCTAAGATGCTATAACCTACTGTGATCTATCATCGAATGGTAAGTAATCATAGCTTACGATAATTGGTGAACCCCAATTAAGAAGTATACACCACCTCTTGACACTGTTCTAAATACTATTTTTTCAACTATTGAGGAAAAAAGTACAAAGTGAAGATAAGTGTAAAAACAAGGAGCTAAGTAAAGCAACAATTTCTACAAAAAATTAATAATTTGCAAGTACTAACACTCTTTATCAAATGATGTAAAAATAAGAAACTATCATAAATCTTCACTTATTATTACTTATGTATAAGTATGTCAATATCTGTAATAATGTTGAATTTTAAATATTTTAGGTTGTAAACAGCTGATGAGAACCTAACGAAACAAAATGAATTCATATTATTCTGCACTAATCTTTGTTCTTACTCTCTTTAACACAAAATGCACATTATTATTATATAAATATAATTAAGAGTTAACTACATGATTAAATATGCAATAAGAAAAATAAAAGTCAATAAAAATCATGATCTTTTAGACAATCTATTCATTTATACATTTTTATTCATTATGAACTCATTAATTTTTAATAAGAAAATCATGTAAAATAATTCACAATCATGTAACTTTAAAATTAATATGGAAGCATATTTAGTTTAAGTAATCTTAATGTAAATATAGAATTGCTATTCGTTGTGCTTTAATATACCGATTTACACTAGCTCCGTATTTATATTCTAAGAGGAAAACTAGATCAAAATTTATAATTATATATGTACACATAATATATATCATCAAACAAATACAACAGCTTAATGAGTGTTTTGTACATTATTAAACTTTATCAGATCACAGTTAATGGGTAATTTTTATGGATGGGATTGTGGAGATTGTTGGATTTTCTTGAAATCATGAATGACGGGCCTTTGTTAGAGACCCGATAATTATTGAGGCTAGTATTTTAGACGTTATATTAGTCGAACTAAATCCTATATAGTTATCAAAGGATGATTTTGATCGTTTCTTATATATTGGATATGGTGGGTAGCTGTAGATCAGCGGAATGCCAGCTGAATTGCTTCTTAAAGCGTTCCGCTCATCGTTCTAAACGCCTGGGCTGAGAGCAGATAAGAGTGCCGTCTTTTTCCAAAATTGTCTCACACTTGAATTCGTAATTCCGGTTTCGCTTATTAGTCTGAAAAGCTGTCTTATGTTACCTATAGCCGTTGCCTTCTCAATTTTTTTTTGATTTCGTTGCCCACCACTGCTTGTGATTGCTCCATAGACTTTTGGTTAAACTATATCTGATTTATTTTCGCTCTTCATAGTGTTCAGAGCCTAATAGGATGAGCTACGAGTCTATCAGTGCAACAGATGTAGCAAAATTCCAAAAACTGAAAAATATCTGGAACTCAAAACAACTCACACAAAACCAGAATACTCAACACTAACGCTAAAACAGTTCCATTGTTAGGAGCTAAAACTTAGAGAACTACTACAATCATTATTAAAAAGGTAGAGGGATTTATGAACAGCTGTTTACGTAAGATACTCCAAATCCATTAGCCAGAAAGCATCAGCAATAATCGATTGAAGTAAAGAACAAACCAGCTTCCAATTGAAGAAAAAATAAAGAAAAGATGCAGGATTTGGATAGGATAGAACGCACTTTACGGATATGATCGAACTACATCACAAAGTAAGTCCTAACTTTGAAACCTCAAGTTAGAAGGAAAAGACAGATCAAGGAACACAAACATCAAAAGGATGAATAAAACTTGGCAACAGCTAGAAAGAAAAACCCAAAACAGAGCTAGTTGAAGATTCCTGGTTGGCAGCCTGTGCTCTATAAGGAGTAACAGGTTTAAATAAGTAATGCCCTCTTGTTAATATCTTCACATATCATTATTATTATGAAGTCTAAAAACTTGTATTGATACACATTTGTGCGAAATCGTATGTCGGATAACTTGAATATATTTAATCAAGTATTCACATGGAAAATAACAAATATTCGAGAACTGAAAAACTATGGTTTTATACTCTTGTTGTTGTAAAAACATCCACAACATCTTCATGGTATACTAAAAAAAGAACAAGTCGCTACTGTTCTACAATAAAATATTAATAATGCTCCATAGGAAAAATTCAATTCTATATGGATAAATGTACTTGAATTATATTATTATTATCATTGTTATTGTTGTTACTACAATATATATTGACAAATAGTAGTAGTAATATTTATATTCATTATTTCTTAAAATAATGACATACATTTTTACATCATACGAACAACATGCACCCATACCAGTTGTTGAATCCCAGCAACAATATTTTTCGAATGGTTGATTTGGATTATCAGGACATAGGAAATATGAGTAAGTACGTGTCATCCCTGTACTATTGATGAACTCGGTGCGTTGACCTTCACAAACCTCATAATTATCTATGAGAAATTAAAAAAAAAAGCAAACCAACAGTATTTATAATAGTACTGATTAATCTTAATTATAACTAACTCTCCTCATTCCGTGACATTCGTTCCTATCAATAAAATGGCATTTCCTTAGTCAGTGATTAACCGGTACTATTACCACTACTACTAATGACGAATAAAATGGGATTTTGAATATATCGAATAAGTCTAAGTAAATACAAGGTTATGATCAGAACGGGGTTTGTGGAGATCGTAGTAATTTTAATAGTTGAATTCATGAGTCGACTCAAGCTAGACCACCACTAAAAACCTGGAAACACCAGATGGCCGTTTCATCTTAGTATGGGACTTCTCAGTAGTGTGCATCCACGATCCCGCATGTTGGACTCGAACCCAGGACGTTCGGTCTCGCGTGTGAACACTTGACTTCTAAACTACTCTGAGCCGGCATCCAATGGCGTTAATGTCTAACTTCAATCGATCCATGATCTTGCGTAACCACTCATCAATTGTATGAGGTAGATACCTATCTCTACCCAGGACGGATTAGACTCCAATGGTCATGGCTTTGTAGTGCTGTGCAAGCCCACACAGCTTATTGACTGGTTTTATATAAGCGTATGTATGTGCATTCCTCATCTTACTCATCACATATCTGTCACTTATTTCTATCCAACTATAAATATCGATTCACGTTTGGCTAAATTCAGTTGGCTTGCATACCTTCTCCACCGCGCTTCATTTCACTCCCCTCTCTTCTCTTCAATTCCTCCCTCTCATTGCCTATCCAGATCAATCAGTCTACAAAACACATGTATTCAAAAATACATTCTCCTATTTCACTCATTTAATTCCCGTATTCACTAACGCGAGTTAAGTCGACAATTTTATACGACGATTAACGATGTGTATATTTCAATAACAATCACATACAGGGCCACAAAATTACGAGTATCCTCTACCTTTAAAGGACTCGTATCACAGACATATATTAGGACAGAACGAACTGCTGCGCAGTATACTCATCTTTTAATACCAAATAGTACAACTGTTAATACCTATCTAGTTTCCACTAATAACAACTTTCCAAAAGAACCTGGAAAATCTAACTTGAGGCTGATTACTAGTGAGTTTAGGTGAGTTCTTGATGAAAACCACATTCAAAAAATGACATAGTCTGAACAGAAAAATAAATGACCAGCTTTAAAAAGCTTTTCGTTTCAAACCACTGATTTTTATGAACAACAAGAAGTGCGCATCTCCTGACATGACTCAGATTACTGAACACCTTTGGAGCAGAAAGTGAAGTAGTTTGTTAGACGTATCTAAGACAGTATATGTTCAAAATGTTGGCGATTTCCTCACTCTCTCTGCCTTAAGTATCAACACTGCACAATAAGATGTTCTGTCACACATAAGAGGTATTGCAAACTCATACACCACTTATCGTTTTCAACCACCTTGAAAAAGTCCTTAAATATCCAAGCATTTTCCCCATATATCATTGTCGGTTGGAGCGAGGAAATAAAATTGCCATCCTAATAATCGGGTCTGGGCCAAGTTATTGAGGGTACAGTAGAAGTTTAATTAACAAGTATTGCATTGCGTTTATTATTGTGTAGATAGATACGAGTTAGAACAGTGTTGGTGGTCATTTAAGATGACAATTGATCTACTAGATGTCATGGATCAAACTTTTATTATTTGAAAAACAGATTTTCGATTGTTAAAACCAGAGAGCAGAATGCTAATCAACAGATGATATGCAACGTTACAAAGAGATGGTTATATCACTATATTACTGGCTGAGGCCTCTAAATAAGTTGAAGTCGTAGACAGGACTAATTGCCACAATAGTTTTTTATGTAACAAAGTGACATGCTTACACGCAATAAATTAACACAATAAACATGATCATTTATCACTGGTGAGCGGAGGAAATGCGTTTGTAGGTCGGTCACCCTACAATTAATTAAGATCTAGTTGTTAGGCATCTCTTGGGCAAAGTATCAAGATGAGAAGTTATAGGCTCAACATCAAATGGAGTTGTGGAGGAGTGGCTGTTTGCTAAAACACCAAATCAGATTGCTGCATCCTGCACCAGATCACTAACAGATCAAACCTCTAATAAAATATCATAACTGTCATTTGATAATATTACTAATGTGATTTGTGATTCCTGGTGTTGGGATGTTGAACACTCAAAATACAGCTTAGAAGTAAGAAAATAAACATTGATTTAGGGTGAATATCAGGTCAACTTACAACACATTTTCGTCACATTACTTTAAGGATTTTCAATGCATTTTGACTACTATTCGATGTTTCGTGACAATTACTCAGTTCATGAATTATTATCATTGGAATCGATATATAATCAATTAACTTAATTCTACTGACATCATCATCGACAAAGCTTCTACTACTAAAATGAACTTCTTACTCTAGTTAGTGGAGCAAGGTAGCAGAGGATAGCGATATTCTTGTTCACCGTATTAAAGGTGGAGTTGCGAAATATTGGCCTAGATAACGAACATATCACCCGGTTCACATGATATTTATTTAGGATGGGGATCGCTAATAAAGATTAATAATGAAAAGGTACTCCTACTGTAACGTAAAAATAGCCAGGGAACATCGAAAGTACCTAAACCTTAGATTGCCAAAGCAGCCGCGTGGTTGTAATTCTAGAGGTAAAATAAAAACATTGATCACGCCATTCGGAAGCACGCTGAACGCACTCTCTATAACTTGAGGCGTTTCCTGGAACTTCGGTTTGTTCAGGTATGTTTATATACCGGTTGATATGATTATTATGTCGGAAGTGGTATCTAGCTGTAGGTGCTTAAAGTACTCCGTTTATTTCTAAAGACATGTATCCTTCTAGTTTCACTGTCAACTATGAATGTTGCAGACAAGCTTCTTGAACGGATATGAAGCTTGGTACTGAATATGAAGTAGTAAACTCAAGATTCCGAGATTAATGTTCACCTTATCAGTGTTAAGAATATATATTTAACGAACGAGAAATCTGTGAATAAGGGCTAATACGTAACTTAAAAACGAACGTCTTCATAGTAGCATTCACTTTGTTATTCATACTTAACAGAAGATCCCTAAACTAATGCAGGATTTCGAAACTAAAAAATGGATAACTTCAGTAGGATTGACGATGACATTAGGAATAATACAAAATAAGTTATTAAATTTGTTGAATATAGTCAGGAATAGATCATGTATGATATGAATCACGCGAAAATCAGTGATAACAAGGAAATGCGGTAGAGCTGTTCGCTTCAAATCAGAAATTTGGAAACCGTATCCTCTGATGACTACATGTAGTACGAATGTTATAAAACCTTAAGTCTCGAAATAATACCATACTACTCAGACAATGAATACAGAGCTGATGATTTACATATTTATCCATAGCTGATTTGTTATATAGTGTGAAATTTTGTATAAATGAGTTCAAACTCGAACGAAGTAAATCCCAGCTAGCTTTAATTGTTTTACGGTTGATATTGCGGATTACTTTCAGACCAGGCAAACATATACTAACAGGTTCACCAAAATATATTAGTTAGATAATTGAGATGAAAACTTACACAAATCACGATATGATCTTAGGTACACATGTGATCTCATTCGTGAACCAATATAAATACCAGCCAGAGCACCAGCTGTAAAGAATAATGCTTTTTTACGAGAATTTGATCTGTATCAAAAAATATCACAAAAAGATATGAACGCAATAATGAGAATGGTATGGAAAACAGGTAATTAAAAGATGACGGTAAATATATCGAAATGCAAACATAAAAAAGTATAGATAAGCATCAGCTAAATTTGGATGACGCCATGAAAATGGTGAGTAAAGTTACTTGTGGCTTCACTAGGTTTCTACAAGCTACTAATAACTTTTTGAAACCTGTCGGTCTACTTTGGCTATCCGCGAATTTAAGAATAAATGTAGATTCTTACTTCGGAAAATCGTACATAGTTTGTGTAACGACTGAGAAACATAGTGGTCGGAGCGTGCTAAAAATTTAGAAGTAGCACTTGCATCTGCTAGCTCCCGGAAGTCCTATCAACTCATACAAGATACTGGCAGCAAGAAGGCTGGTTTGACTGAAACAATCTATGAAGTTGATGGAATGCCAATCAATAACATCTACCGAGGTCTCGGACGATGGGCCGAGTCTTTCGAAGAGCAGTCTGACTGGTCTGTCACCCCGGCGACATCGATCAGACTGTCCTGCTCCAGATGGCTGGTGACGACCAATCTACATAAATAGGCGACATTCCGTAAGGAACTCCAACTCTTGAAGCGTCACAAATCATCAGGCCCAGATGACTTACCTTCGTCTCTTGTTAAGATGGTGGCGATCTTCTAGTTGTCTGAGTTATCTACAAATGTCTGGCGATTAGGGAGTGTTCCAACACTGTGGAATGAGTTGATAGTTGTGCCTATCTCTGAAAAGGGTTCACGTCACAAATGCAACAACTAATGGGGGATAAGTCTAATGCTACTTGCGTCAAAACTATTGGCTTCCGTCATGCTTCGTAGCGTTAAAAACACGGGAAAGATTGACACGCCTGAAGCAGGCTGGCTTTCTTTCTGACCGAGGATGTGTCGATCATTTCTCCACCATCTGCTAAATGTAAGGGCACAATCAATTTCGTAAACAACACCCCCACTCACTGCCTTCTCGTGGCGGGGTGTTTACGAAATTAAGGGAATGAAGAGTGAGTGTCCGGCGCTTAGATCCACTGTACTCGTCAATAAAAATGCCATAGACTAAACTAAAATGTAAGACCTTCAGGGGTTACCGTTATCGATTTACTAAAGAACAAAAGAGCAGCACTACTAGAAATCCTGAATATAGAAATGAAAGAGCTTACTTTCATTACACTTTAATACGGTCGACAGTAAAAAATTACATATAAATTTCGCATTATGGTGTAGTCACTGCTTTTCATCAAAGTTTCAGGCAAAATGTGTCCCAAAAGCTATACCTTGTCCGAGACATTTTGACACAAAAACTGGGACCATATGAGAATATAAATAAATAATATATTTGTAATATCCCAATGAGTAAAAAAATTAGATTTTCTGACGTTTCGTGACTTAGTGTAAGTCACTTTGGGAAATAAATAACCAAATTAAAATTAATCCAAGTTTAAATAGTACAACGGAACAATAAGAATAATGTGTGATCACACATAACCAAATTAAACTTGGATTAATTTTAATTTGGTTATTTATTTCCCAAAGTGACTTACACTAAGTCACGAAACGTCAGAAAATCTAATTTTTATACTCATTGGGATATTACAAATATATTATTTATTTATAACAATCTACCCAATGCTCAATTTATTCGAAATTATCAAATCAAACCTTGGTAATGATGCCTACATATGAAAGTAGTAAGCGCCTGTTGGGGCAAGAAACTAAATTCACAAGTAGCTATATTTCTTAGCAGGGATAAAACACCATACTCAAAGTACTTTCTTGGGAGTACCAATCTTAGTTATTAACTAATTGTACCAGTACGAATAGAAAAATATAACAAGTTTCATGAAAGAAATTGATTATACGACTTGACCTGCAAAAAGTGGTGTTTCCAGTGTGTAAAAATAGTTTTATGAAGGTCATAATATCAACTAACAAGACTGGAATAGTTTGTTTACGGAAAATGTGTGAGTCATATATATTGCCTGTCTAACTTGTATCTAAGCAAATAAATTATCCTGACCAGTGGAAGTGTCCACGTAAAACATTGCCGAAAGACCAAACAAAGTAGAAAATATATGCTGAATAGGCTCACGTACAGTCCACTCCGACGTGAATAAAAGCTTGATCTTCCTGAATAACGATGTTTTGATTTTGAAAGTGAAAGTGTTTTCGAGCGTCCAAATCCCTTTGATTTTGATTTAGCAAGTATTTCATCTAGAAGGAATACCCAAAGATATGCAGATCATCATCAGCCATACTTAAAACCTTAACGCTCGAACTAATATAGTTAAACATACGATGAAAAAGATCAAAGTTTATGAGAATAATAAGTCAGATTTATTTATAACTGTATGTTAGTTGTCAAAAGCATGCCGAAGAAGTGGATGTTTACCACTCTAAGTTATAGTAGAAATTTCTAAGACAAAATCAAGTAATATTTTAATACTGATGACCGAAAACAGTAGATTGAAGCACTATATTTGATTTTCTATAGATTCGGCGCGCACTTTAAAAAGACTGATATTTCCCTTAACTACTAGTGTTTTCACCTTAAATGAATAATTTTCAGTAACACTATTTGAAAGAACACCGTTTCTACAAATATGTTTCATATGTGTACTCATTTTGGATATGGCATTCTTTTGGCTACAGCACTTTTCGGAACTAACGTTCCATGATTCGCTTTTGTTTCTTGTCCAACATTTTGGTTGTTGGTCTTTGTCTCTGTGTGGTCGTTTCTTCAAAGTTATTTTAAAATCTTTGAGTGATGGCTGTAAAGTGCTTATAAGAACTGGGTTTCTTCAGGCTCCTTACAACTCATTGAAGCCTGTCAGTCTACTCCGAGTGACTGTGAGTTTGACCACAAACGAAGGATGTAATAAGGAAATTGGGCAAAGCTTGCGTAAGGACCGAGAAGCCTGGTGGTCGAGCGTGCTAATGAGCTGGAAGCAGCAGCTGCATCTGGTAACTACCGGAAGCTCTTCCAACTCATCCGAGCCACTGGCAGCAAGAAGTCTGGTGTGAGTGAAACAATCTGCGAGGATGATGGGATGCCAATCACTAACATCCATCGACGTCTTGGACGATGGGCAGATCAACTGGCCTGCTGCTCCGGCAACATCGGTCAGACTGTCCTGCCCTCCATGGCCGGTGACGACTGATCCACCAAATGAGGAGGAAGTCCGCAAGGAACTCCAACTCTTGAAGCGTTACAAATCACCTGGCCCAGATGACTTACCTCCGGCTCTTTTTAAAGATGGTGGTGACTTTTTGACTAAGGAATTGACGACGTTGTTTACAAAGGTTTGGGAACTAGAGAGTGTACCAACGTCATGGAATGAGTCGATAGTTGTCCCTATCTTTAAAAAGGGTTCACGTCGTTCCTGTAACAACTATCGGGGGATAAGTTTACTTCCGATTGCGTCCAAGCTATTGGCTTCCGTCATACTTCGTAGGTTGTTCAAAACCCGAGAAAGATTGACTCGCGAGGAGCAGGCTGGGTTTCGTTCTGGTCGAGGATGTATTGATCATATCTTCACCCTCCGCCAAATGTTAGAACACCGCCATACTTATCAAAGGCCAACAATCGTAGTGTTTCTTGACATCAGGGCTGCCTTCGATTCGTTGGACAGGACTGTTCTCTGGGATTGTCTATTGAAGAAGGGTGTGCCTGAGAAGTTTATTAACATCCTAAAAGCCCTATATAAAAACACCTCAGGCAGAGTGAGGGCATACAACCACCTCTCTCCATTGTTCCATTCGAGCAGTGGGGTTAGGCAGGGTTGCCCAATCTCACCATTCCTCTTCAACTTTGCCATCGATGACATTCTGGAAACAGCTCTGATGAATGTAAGTAATGGTGGTGTGGATCTGTTGCCTGGAGAAAGACTTCTCGACCTTGAGTATGCGGACGATATTGTCTTACTGTGCGATAATGCCCAAGGCATGCAATCCGCACTTAATCAGTTGGCAATCAGTGTCCGTAGGTATGGTATGTGCTTTGCACCTTCGAAGTGCAAAGTACTTCTACAAGACTGGCAGGATTCCAATCCTGTACTCACCCTGGATGGTGAGCAGATAGACGTAGTCGAGAAGTTCGTGTATCTGGGTAGCTGCATAAGTGCTGGTGGTGGAGTGATGAGATCAATGCACGTATAGTGAAATCCAGAGCGGCTGTAAAAGGTCGGATCTACAACGCGTCGGTGAGAGCAGTTTTGCTCTATGCTTGTGAAACCTGGCCTCTCCGAGTTGAGGATGTTAGACGACTCTTCGTGTTCGATCATCGTTGTCTCCGAAGGATTGCTGACATTCAGTGGCAACACCATGTCAGTAATGCAGAGGTTCGGCATCGTGTGTTCGGGTACAGAGACGATAATGCAATTGGTGTCACTATCTTGAAACATCGACTTCGGCGGCTTGGACATGTTCTACGAATGTCGTTCCAGAGAATTCTACGTCGGGCATTATTTGCCGACTCTGGGACTGGTTGGAAGAAGCGGAGAGGTGGTCAGTATATGACATGGTGTCGTGGCATGAAAGAAAGCTGCAAAGGACTGGCTTGTGTTGGTCCTTCACGAATCCCTGGCTGGGGTCCGAGAGATGGTGCTACACGGCGGCTAGAGACGTCATCAGATATGGCTCACAATAGAAGCCAGTGGCGATCCTGCTGTAACCTTCTTTTACTTTCTTTGTAAAAAAGTGGTCGATTCCTACTTAACTGAAAGATTTCTTCTGGTTGTACCTTTCCGTTCCCCCATCATTACTATTATTATTATTATTATTATTATTACACTACCTTACACCAATCTGTTCGTTATTGTTCTCTTTTCTTCCACGCTCCTTACCCTTTTTTCCTTGTCTTAAAAATCCAATTGTTTTGTGTGGCGCATATATATTTGGTGCCTTCTTGTAACAATATTTATGTGCTCAAATAAATAAATAAATGCCACAGGAGACCTCCAACAATTGATTACGATAAGCACGCGGACCCAAACTAAGTATTTTGTACCCACCTACATGGTTAACTCAGTGGTTTATTTACTGATATTATGTCTTAGTTTGGTGGAGGGTTATCTCGCCTACGATACAATTGACGCACGTTTGCAAAAGCCAGTCAAACTTTCTGAATCCGTACAGAGGTTTCGTTAGTTACTGAGAAACATAACAACTGAGGAACTATTGAAAATTTTACGGTCAGAGTGGATCTTAAAGGCACCTAAGAAATGGAATTTTCTTGGAAGTTCTTTGGATAAGAGGTTGGGAGAAATGGTTGGGAGAAATACTGTGTTTAAATAAATAAATAAATGAAGAGATATGACTTGCAAATGTCATCGATACACAGAAAATCTGAGGTACTCGAGACCGGAATAACGCTTTAGAGACAGTTCACGATTTTTGGGATGTGTCTACATATGTAGGGCAATATTGCCCAGCCGGTTGGGTAAATGATGCGCGGAAGTACTTTAGTAAACCAGAATAATGTACTACAGCATATAAACGTCTGAATAACCACCTTATGCCATGGTACAAACACACAAAACCTAATAAAATACTCACCATACAAAAGAAGTAGGACTACAATGATTAACAAGAAACGCATAAGCCCCATAGTAACGCGATATACGGACATCCCGCCTTGTTTATTGAAATTCACAAAAATTGTTGTGTGGATTTAAAGTAATTTAACTGCAAAAAATCGCAGAAATGCTACTGGTCGGAAAACATTGCGCAAATATATCACTAATAGGTTCTTTATTTATTGACAGGATAAAGAGAAACGAATATGAATTGGGTTTTACGGGTGCCGTTTTTCAGTAAATTTAAAAAGATCTATACTGTGAGGAGATAATGAACACCATAAGTCAACAGAGAAACAGAACCGGAAAATGTGGTCGAATTCAATTTGTCTGCGTTCTCCGTACCCTCCTTTATAACTTGGAAAAAACTACCATTTTCTGACTTATTAGACCGTATGTGGGACACTTGTGCTGAAATAAATAATAATGAGCAGTAGTTGGTAGTTTTAATCATTATTGACGAAAGGATGAACGATTCTTTATCTGAAATGTTGAGTCCGGCCAATCCTGTTTCACATGGAAACAAAACTACTAAAATACTAGCCTCAATCTTCTTGTAATGCGGCGAACTTAGAGAATATTGCTACTACGCCTGCAACATGTAATAACACCCCATCCCAGTGAAACTGAATTGTCTAATGTTGATATTCTAAAGTGAATTCCCGAAAAGGATTTATCATATTTAGCAGGAAAAATTAAGGGTAAAACGTACAAAAATATAGTGACCAAGATGACGCACTGCCCGAAGTTCACGTGCTCAACGGTCCTCCTAACTGACTTCATCAGCACACACTGTTGAGACATTGTTAACCTTATTATGTTAGCTTTTTATTCGTCAATTCGGTCTATTGATTGTATGTAGATTTAGTAGAAATTTTCGGCAGTGTTATCTAGAATTCTAAATTGGTAGTATTCATTGCTTCAATGGGATTTGGCTAACACTCCTAATACACAGGTTGTATTTATGAAAATGAGACGTTCAAAGCTTGTTATATATAATCGCTTACCTAGAGTTGGTTTAAAGTATGAAATATATAAGTAACACATAGAAAAGCCATCAATTTATCATAAAAAACCGGCTAAACATGGTAATATCTTTAGTGAAAATGAGAGTACAATACACACTGACGTACATATATGCTCGGGTTTATACACACCGTTGTCTAGTTACAATAAAAAAGACAGCAAGATACACGAACTAGTGGGATTCCTGAATATTACTAGACTGGATATATCACAAATATATTAGTAGTGTGGAACTTAAAGCATGAGGAATAAGGAAGAATATAGTTGTGTCGGTAGATTAGATGCTAATTTTATATTGACACAAAGAGATAACCGAAAGGAAAGGTATGAATCCATTATTTTGTGCCTTACTGCTGCGAACTCTATCTTTACTAGAATAATATAGGAGTTTGATAAGTCTTGTAAATTGAACGCTATATTCATTTCCTAAGCTATTCTGTAACCCCCAAGATAGAACTATAGAGTGACCTGAACAGCGAGAGAGAAGACGAAAAGTATGCGAGAAGTACCTTACTCCAAGATTCATTTAACACAGAAAATATAGGGTTTTTATAATATTTTTAAATGTTCTTGGGTTGCTCGGAGATTCCGGAACGCTACTGAACATAGTAGCAGTATATCAATCAGCCAATCAGGACATCTACATGTGACTTTTCACTTCCTTGATATTTTCGGCTAAAACTTGAAGTGAACGCTGATTGGATGAAACGCTTCTTGGTGTTTTCTGATCCTTTCTTGTCTTTTGTGAGAAGTTTTTTGAATAAATCCAACAGAGTTAGCATTTCACTGTGTTTATGAGCATCATTTTTGTTCTCATCATTCCATAACTGCTGTTGTAATTGTGTGGTGTTTTATTGTGTTCACAGATCACACAGTACTACCAGCCTCTTCTAGAAACCGATGAATAATGACAGGCAGATCCGTAAAACATGTGCATTCATTAAGTTGTTCAGTCATGAAGTTAGAAACAAACATTAGTCGCCCAGATGCAATGTATATTTTACGATATTGTGGATAAAGCAACGCCAGTTGACCTTAGTCATGCTCAACGATTTTACTGCACTATAAAGGAAAGGAAAAATTCTACGTCTATATAGAATGAGTAATAAATAGCTTCAAAATTGTGTACTGATGTATTTTGCTGATAGCAGGTTGCCAGTCGACATTTAGCTGCCCGCTCTTGACTACGGTGTGTCTGGCTAAACGTATGTTGGATTTTTGATGTTTTCTTATCAATCCGAAAATGCGTCAACTGTGATATTTCTGACTCCATTTCCCCCTCAGCGCTCTCCAAATATAAACCTTCTACTCTTCTCTTTACTGTACCACTTATACAAAACCGTTATACACAAACGTTGTTAATTGATCTACTAGAAATTTGAGTGTGTGAGATTCATATTCACGTACTTTGATTATAACTAAAAAAATGTTAGATTGCAGTGTCATTGTGCCTTAACCGCTTATGTTCTCCCCAACTCGACCTTCTGCTGCCAGGCTTTCCATTTCGTAATGGTGTTACATACTACTTATGTCGTTCGACATGCGTGGCATACACCATAGCTGTTGCTGTCAGCTGTATGGTTTGTAAGCACCTTCGAAGAATATATTCAAGCTGGTGATGGGGGAAAAATACTTAACACAAATAGGGGCGATTTACAGTAACCACCTCCTCATGACTGATCCGAGCAGTTCCGATAATTGTTCCTAAGCTGACCTTAGTTAACCTTCACACGTCCTCTTTCAGCATCCATCAACCAGTGAGAATCTTCTAAATGTATTTTCAGATTCAAAGTCGATTCGCGGTGATGGTTCAATCTTATTCACTGGAAACCTTCATTTTCCATTTAAAAGAATCATCAGCAATCTAAACAGATAGTAATATGTTGACCTTAAAGGGTTTTGAGATCTCGGTTTCATTTTTCTTAGATGACTTACATGCAGAATAGTTGTAGCACTATTGAGGTGATTAGATATAAACTACCGAATCTAATGACCCAGTACTGGTTTAGGCACGGCAACAAAGCTATACATTTTTACTGTCGGTGGTACAACGTTAAAATCTGTTCAAAGGTTTATCAGTGATTCAGAGGGTTCCTGGTTCAAAAACTGATCTCCAGACACTAGTTTATCCATTGCAACCCTTCCGAAACACCGGTTCTTATTTCAATATGTTCGAAGATGAAAGGACAGAGAGTGACGTTGCCTAGTTTTGGACCCTTATCAAGATTTTGCTACAAGTTCGACGGCATTATTTGGCTATTTGATAAATTCTAGATCAATTTCAGCTGAACAGGATGCGTGTTTTAAATTATCTGTAAGGAACATGCCTATGGTAATAATGGAATTAACAGACTTAACCAGCTCGATGCTTTTCCAGGCATAATTCCCACTAGTCTAGATGACTACTGACCAATAAAATTTGATCAGAATCCAACGATATTCCTCACTACTCAGGGAATAATCATATGTTAGTACATTACATGAAGTCACTCGTTCGCTACATGTGCAACATATCTGAAAGTAAAGCTGAGTGACTACGATAATTAGGAGTATTTTAATTATAACAGGAACTAAGAATCCCAGAAATAACGCGATCGGATCAAGAAGTACAAAATTAGAACGATTGAATGTACTGTATTCGGAATTTGAAATCAAGCATTCAACAAGTACAAAGGAATCATTAGCTCATTCAAACACCACAGTGACATAGACTTGAATCTGTAGTGGTATTGGTTCCTATCAACATGGTTCTCGAATCCGAACACATAACTTCAGTTTCAGTTTGGAAAGGACAGGAGGCTTGATGGCCTGTGTTAGTCCTGGCAATGGTGGTCTCTTAAATGATCAAACTTCCTTTCGAAAGAAACGAGGGATGGAGCCTCAACTACGTACTGAGGTAACGAATTTCACTCGTTGATGATTCGATGGTAAAGTCGTTAGTCATCTGACAAGTAATTTGTTCTGGGCTTGTGAACTTTCTTGGAGTGTTCTCGTAAATTATCTGTTTAGGAAGACAAGAAAAATGGGGGCGCATCAGGTACACATTTTTCACTAAGCAATTAAAGAACTGTTATCACGTCGCCTCTAGTTCTCCGATATGACAACGGTAATAGATTTAGCTTGGCCAGTCAAACATCATACGGAGGCTTTGCTATTCCGGGAATAAACTTAGTTGCTGTTCTTTGAAACATTTCCAAAAGCTTGTAGTGGCATCGGACAATAACCGCACAATCCACAAAGCTCAACACGAGACTACTCGGAAAATAGATATTCAATATTTAACGCAGATAAATACCTAACGATGGAGAAGGCGCGAACAATGAATCGAATGGACTGGGTTTGATCGGATGGCATGGCTCGGCCATGCAGGCGTGGTCCATTTGAATGTTATCTTATATCTTCTATTCGTATTAAATATATTGTTCCTTCTCTAGCTTAACGTTGTTCTACATCATGTATTGATAATTGATACGATACAGTGAGTTGGCGTAGTCGATGGTGTGACTTCCACGTAAGATCTTATAGATTAGGCAGTTATATCATGACAAATCTACAAATTTAGGATTAGGTCTATTATTAGAGCAGCACTAATATCATAGTAGACCATAGTTCTACAGGCTCACTGTCTTTTTTAAGCATAGGGCATCCACTTGTATGCAGTACTCAAGTTTAGGACGTACGAACACTGTATACAAAGTCAAAAACGCTTTAGGTTAGAGGTTACTAAAGACCCTACGTATTAAACATAAATTTCTAAAACTTATTACTAAGTAGATTGAAATTAAACATGCAAAATTTGGAGTAGATCGGTAGTTGGCCGTCAGACGAAATGTCATAGCTCGGTCACCCAGGCTTGGCCATTCTGAAAAAAGAATTGCATTTTGTGTTGAATGTGTGAGGTGTCTGTATATATTGATGATCCTTTGTACATGATGACTGCCTGATTCCTAATTCCGAATACAATATGTTTGTTTGTGCCCACCTAGTTCGGTTTGTTTTAAACTGCACTATTTCGGGAATTCTCAATTCGTATAAAAAATCAAGTA